AAAAAAGGTTAACCCCAGAAAAACTTTCCCAAACCTGAAAGTTTTTTCTACTCCAAAAACATTAAAACCCCCCTGAAATTTTACCCAGAAACAAACAACCAAAAGTGTTTCCCCCCAGACAAACTTTAAACCCCCCAAAAGTGTTCTACCCCAAAACCTTTAACAACCTAAAGGTTCTCCCCAAACCAAAAACCCTAAAAGTGTTTCCCCCAAAACCACTTTAAAACCTAAAGTTTCTACTCCAGAACAAACAAACCCTGAAGTGTTTACTCCGAACAATTAACACCCTAAAATGTTTCTAACCTCCGAACCCCAAAACACTTTAAAACCAAAAGTTTCTACTCCAAAAAACATTCAAAAAAACACTTTTAAAAACCTGAAATGTTTACTCCAAACCATTAAAACCTAAAGTTTTCTACTCCAAAAAAACTTTAAACACCAAGTTTTACTCCGAAACAAATTAACAACCGAAAGGTTTAAAACCCTCCAGAACAACATTAACAACCTGAAGGGGTTTCTCTCCAAACAACATTAACAACCTAAATTTTTTTATCTCCAAAAAACAAAACAACCTGAATTTTTTAACTCCAAACCAACATTAAAAACATTAAAAACTTTAAACCCCCTAAAGGGTTCTACTCAGAAAAACATTAAAAAAACCTGAAAGTGTTCTACTCCCAAACAACTTAAACCCTGAAATTTTTCTCCAAAAAACATTAACACCTAAATTGTTCTCTCCGAACAACTTTAAACACCTAAAGGGTTTTAAACCCCAAAACAACTTTAACAACCTGAAAGTGTTATACTCCAAAACCACTTTAAACCCCTAAAGTGTTCTACCCCAGACAACTTAAAAAAACATTAACACCCAAAAGTTTTTATACTCTAGAACAACTTTAAACACCAAAAGTGTTAACTCCAAACAACAAGACTATTGCAGCTGGGAGGTTTAAGTTGAACAGTGCAACGTGGGTCTTATGCAAACATTATGTAAAAATAGTGAATTGTAACCATTAAAGTTTAACCATTGTAGAGCTTACAATTACTTACACAGTATGTCATTGTGTAGTGATATATTTGCTATATGGGGACGTACTGAAGGAAACACCCACGTCTGTAAATAAAGGGGTTTCAAAGGAAATACAGTGGAATGGAGCACCAGCTTTTCTGACCACTTAAAGACTCCAATCAGATCGACAGACATTTGGCTTTGTTCCGGAGCAGGAGGAGAGGAAAACATTTGTCAACAAGCAAAATTATTTTGGTGTGTGTCTGTGTGTGATTCTATAAGGAACTAAATGATGAAGCACCCTTCCCATTCTATGATTCTATAAGGAACTAAATGATGAAGCAGCCTTCCCATGGCTATGATTCTATAAGGAACTAAATGATGAAGCACCCTTCCCATGTCTATGATTATATAAGGAACTAAATGATGAAGCACCCTTCCCACAGCAACTGCCATGAGAGACACTATATAGACATAATATAACATTTGAAATGTCTTTATTCCCTTGGAACTTTTGTGAGTGTAATGTTTACTGTTCATGTTTTATTTCAGTTTTGTTTATTATCTATTTCACTTGCTTTGGCAATGTTAACATATGTTTCCCATGCTAATAAAGCCCCTTCAATTGAATTGAAGAGAGAGAGAGAGAGAGAGCGAGACTCCTGCAGCTCTGTCGTACACTGGGTATGTACATAGTCAATGGTAGGCTTCGAGGGGACTCCTATGGTAGGTACACCTATAGCTCATCTCTTGGCAGTAGTACTGTAGACTACTTTATCACTGACCTCAACCCAGAGTCTCTCAGAGCATTCACAGTCAGCCCACTGACACCCCTATCAGACCACAGCAAAATCACAGTCTACTTGAACAGAGCAGTACTCAATCATGAGGCATCAAAGCCAAAGGAACTGAATAATATTAAGAAATGCTATAGATAGAAGGAAGTAGTGTTGAAACCTACCAAAAAACAATAGGCAACAACAAATTCATCCATTCTAGACAACTTCCTGGACAAAACGTTCCACTGTAATAGTGAAGGTGTAAACTTGGCAATATATTTGACCTCCTCAGCTTCCCTATTAAATCAAAAAATCTCTAACAGAAAACCAAAGAAAAGTAACAACAGTGATAAATGGTTTGATGAAGAATGCAAAAACCTAAGAAAGAAATTGAGAAACCTATCCAACCAAAACATAGAGACCCAGAAAACCTGAGCTTATGCCTTCACTATGGTGAATCACTAAAACAATACAGAAATACACTACGGAAAAAGAAGGACAGCATGTCAGAAATCAGCTCAATGTAATTGAAGAATCCATAGACTCTAACCACTTCTGGGAAAATTGGAAAACACTAAACAAAACAACAACACGAAGAGCTATCTATCCAAAACGGAGATGTACAGTGGGGAAAAAAAGTATTTAGTCAGCCACCATTGTGCAAGTTCTCCCACTTAAAAAGATGAGAGAGGCCTGTAATTTCATCATAGGTACACGTCAACTATGACAGACAAAATGAGAATTTTTTTCTCCAGAAAATCACAT